TGTTAACTTGTTAGAGCTGTCCTTCCCATGGTTTGGTTGGAGGGTCCCACACACCTTCTGCTATGAGGCTTTTCCCACCAGCCAGTTTGGATGTGAACACCAGATCACGAGGAACCAGAGCACTGAGCAGTGTGGCTGCAGGCCCTCCCAGGACAGTTGGCCTCGCTGTGCAAGCTGGATTTATCACAGAGGTATAGCCACAGCCACAGAGGACCCATGGATATCTTGTATCTTCTTCCTTTCACAGAAGTAGCCAAGTCATATTGGTATTTCTCCAAATGCATTCAGTAGCATCTTGGAAAGTGTTACACCTTTCCTGACTCCAGTGCTCCTTCTGAAGCCATTGAAAATCTCCACTCTCTTTGCAGTGCTCAGCTAAATGTGAGAGCATGTAAACGTTTGGAGCCTCCTAAAAACGAGTGCATGACTCACGTGCTTCAAGCCACCATGATGAGTATGAAAAATGTCAATATTTTTTACTCTGGTTCCTACAGCCTATTTCAGTTCTTATTTCTAATTTTGGTTAGAAAGCATCTCGTCATTTCCAGCCCACACCTGGCCAAACCACGTCCCAAAGCCTTGACCAGGACCACTTTAACAAGATTGCAGGTGTTGTCTGCCTATAAGAACTGACAGTTTTAGACTGTGATTTGCAAGAGCGATTGTTGTTGAGTACCACAGTCAGTACCTTTCAATACAATTTTATCTCAGGAACGAGCTGTTATTAAAGGATTATTTGTGCCTTTTGTATTGTCTATCTGTTAGCCCAGGCCACTGTGAGACCAGGACACAATGGTTGTGCTTAGTGTTGTATTTCTGTGCTTGAGCAAAGACAGCAGGAAGAAATGCCTCTCCTTCACCCACTGCTTGCTGTCAAGAGTGTACCAGAGAAGGATTTTGTTCCTTTCCTCATTTTTAATCCCATGCTGTGACTTAGAGATGTATTTCATGCTCAGCATAGAAGTGATACCTTGGCGTTAGCTGCCCAAGAAGATAAAAGCAGCAAACAGTGTTAGATCACAGGTAACCAGTGAGGCTGTTAATGGCAGGAGCAGACCTAAATGGTCCTTTTGACCAAAACAAGTGCTACTTTGTTCTTTAGTAATGCTGATAATTGGATAGTTGATAGACTGCTAACACAAACAATGGCCATATTGGAATTTTTGTCACAGCTCCCACCAGATGATTCCAGAAAGAAATCCAACCATTAAACACCACACAACACCGAGTGGCAGATGAGCAGAAGAAGCATGTGAAGCCTACAGTACACTCTAACTTTATTTTTACAGAATCCCCTGGAAGGACAGAAGAATCACACACATTTCTCCCTACATTTTCACTTAATGAAATTACTTTCTCTGAACTGTGAACAGAAGCTCCTCCTTAAGGCAAAGAACATTCCTCTGCAGTGCCACAGCAAAAGAAGTTCTTTGCTGAACTTCTGAGAAATCTGCCTTCCTTTTCTATATTCCTGACTTTCTTTGTTCCCTTTTCAATTGATTTTCCCTATAATACAGTTATATAAATAAAGATGGCTCATCCACGAGGTGAGGCAGGAGATGGGGAGTAAATTGACAAGTTCATGCAAAAAACCCACAGCATCTGCACGTTGTTAAAAGTGCTTTTGTAGTCTCCAGAAGGAACAGAAAGGGGAGATTGATTGTATGGACGTGTGTAGGTGGCAGAAGTATCTTTAGCTAGAGGTGAGAGGGTAGAAGCTGTCAGAAAAACAGAGAGTAGGAGCAGAGTAGACAGGAGATGCCCCAGGTGATGTATTTCATACGAGACAAGTTGAACTACTTTATAAAACAAATATGCAAGTAGTATTGGAAGCAAAAATAAAGAATTCTATCTATATAAGAACTGTTTGTTCATTTAAGTAGATTTTTTTTAAATCTAATTTGGGACTGATTTCCCTACTGCACGTCGCTATTGAGGTTACAGTTCCAAACACAGAATGATGGGAAAATGGATTGAAAATCCAAGGAGAAAGCAGGAAGAGTAAGGTGAATATTTGCAGTACCTGCCTGTAGTTGTAAGAAAGCTTTGTGTACTTCCGAAAGAAGGAATCAGTGTATTTCATAATGAGATTAGGCTGTTTGGTGAGGGGGAGGGCAAACAAAGAATAAACAGCTCGGATCTCAGACTGATCAAGTTTTAGGCAGCACATTTCAGTCGGTTACCTAACAGCAGTTCCGGCACTGTGAGCAGCAGCACGGCAGCGTCCAGTCTCAGATATGCATTTCAAATGAATTAAAACGTGACGTTCACCCAGAAGTACTGCAACTGAGTCATGCCTGAAAGAATGGACAGCTGAACTTGTAGAGAGTGGGATTAGTAGACTCAGACAAGAAAAAGAGATTTTGCCCTTCAGATTTAGTACTCAGATTTCTATACTAATGACCCTGCTATTTCAGAGCTCTCAACCTAAGGAGAATAAGTATTCTTTCCATGTCTAATTCATGCAATAAAAAATATTTATTCCAGGACTGGATTTTCAGGACTATGACACTTTTTATTATTATTATTATTTTTTCCTTCTTTTTCTGTGGATTTGTGTTTTATGGCAGACTGAAATATCAGGACAACCTTTTTCTCCATGTCTGTGGCATCCCTAATGTCATTTTCTTATGTGTCTGCTCCTGCCCTTCTACATGGCTGTCCTTTTTCACAAAACTGCCAGGAACTTGATTAACTGCCTTAGAGACAACTCCCTTTTGGCAAACAGTTACATTTGGACAATGGTATGGAGAGATATGGGGCAGCAGGACAGACAGACACTGACTGCATGCTGGCTCAGCTTAAGAAGTTGGTTTACAAATGCAGAAATTGATGCTTTATGTGTGAGTTATGATATATAAACTTTCAAAATCAATAAGTATAAAAATTAATAGCCCTATAGTTTCTGCCGCAGTACCTGGAACAATTGTATTTGGCAGTTCTTTCCATCTGAAATTCATGAGGTCACTACAGATACCAGGCCTTGTCACCTAAGGTGTACATACAGCCCTACCCCAGGTGTTGGTGTGACAGCCATCCCACACTTGCAGGGAAAATGAGTTGCAGTGGGCACAGGCTGTGACCTCCAGCTCTTCTTATCCCAGCAAATTTATAGAGAAATCCTTCATAGGCAGGATGCGTAATGCACTAAAACTGGAAGTTGAGCTGGACAGTTTGTGTGCAGTGTTGTGGGATGACTGCACTTGGGCAGGGACTCAAAATTACATATCTTCTGGCACCTTCGGTTCTATTATGCACATTGACATGGTGTGGGACCAGAGGTTCAGCACTGACTCAGAGGGAAGAGTGGCTCATAGTGAATCACTAATGCCATATCCTGCAGCACTCTGCTGCAGCTTTGGCAGTAAGAAAGGCTAATTACAGTGTGGTTACTATGACTGATTTTTTAGATGCTTTTATGCATACCTCAGGCATGTCAATAGGTAAAACATAGTCAGCTTGCTTAGAAACACCCGAGTGCCTTAAGTATATTATTTTCTACCACAAAACCGGGAGAGCAGAATTCTAGTAGACAACAACATCCAACTGAACACAGCATCCTGAATTGCTCTTTCTCACATGCATATTTACACAAATTGGAGTACAAATGGTTGGATTTTTGGGTGGTTCTGTGTAAAGCTAGGAATGGGAGTTGATGTTGGAGTGGATGATCCTTCCAACTCAGGATATTCTATGGTTCTATCATTCTCTGAATGGAAAACTACAAGTTGTTTTGTGGTTTTTTTTGGCCTTTTAAGGGTAAATAGTGAACGTCTATATATAAAAAGAAGTTTCCCTTACAATAGAGATACCAATCTGCTGTTTTTCTGAACTCTGTGATGAGCTTGAACGAGGAGCTGGGACAGGGGTATCAGCCGTGCTGCATCAACAGTCCCCATAGAATTCAATGAGGGTGCTCTATGGGCAGCCCCAGTCCTTGAGCCGGGAGGACACAGGCACAAGTATTCAGGCCAAGATACACAGAAGCAAAGCTTTAAGACATTTGTACCGCTTGCCACCTGTCTTGCATGTTGTACTGCATCACCAGATACAAAATACCAAGAAAGTATCAGTATCAGAAATGTTATTTTGTACAACAATGTACTCACACAGTCATTTAAAGGTATTTTTGCCACTTCCCTCCTTCCCTTTCACACCCCTTTCCTCCCCTTTCTGAGGGTTTTGCCACCTCCTTCCTTACTCCACGTGCTAAAATAATCAGCACAGTGTCAGCATTAGCCCTGATCACGTCTGTTAGAGCGCACAGACAGCACGCATCCCGAGCACTGCTTTAGGCTGCCCTCACGCTCAGCCGGACACTTCTGCTCACAGTCGGCTCGTGCTTCCAAGGCTCCCTTTGCCACCCCGAGGAGCAGGCACTGCTTCTTTGGAGATAAGATTGTCGACAGCTTGAAAACACTGTGAAGGTCACACAGATGTTCCCAGCCGGGACGTGTGGCAGTTTTGTCTGCTACAGTAAGGGACGTTCTCATAAGTGAATAAGTGAATTTGCCTGTTGCTCTTCGCTTATTTTTGCTCGAGCTGCTCAAGTGCAGCGGTTTGTTCACCTGTTCACCGGCACTCGGGTCTCCACTCGCTGCGAGGAAAGATGCCGTGCTCCATCTGTCCGCGCCGTAACAGAGCGACTTCACGTTGCACTCGGAGCATGGAACGGCCGTGATTCTGTGATTCTGTGATTCTGTGATTCTGTGACCGTAACCCCGCGGGCAGCGCCGGTTTCCCGGCAGCGCGCCGGCTCCCCTGGCCCAGACGCCCCCCCCGGCCCCGCCCCAGCCCCGCCACCTGCGGCGCTCCCGGGCCCGGCTTCGCGGCGGCCTCGCGCGGGGGGCGGAGCTCCGCCCCCACCTCCGCTCCGGCCCCGCCCCCGGCACGTGACGCGGGTGACGCCGCCGTGCCCGGGAGCTGACACTCGACGCAGGGGTCGCGCCGCGAGCGGCGGGCAGGGCACGCGCGCAGCCGCCGCCGCCGCAACCGCCGGAACCGCCGAGGCCGCCGCAGCGGGGCCCGCGCCGCCGGGACAGGTGAGGGGCCGCGGGGCCGCGCCTCTCGGGCCGGCGGGCGGGG